GTCAGTATAAATCTCAGGAATACCATTGTATTGGCCAGTGAAATATTAAGAAACATTTATTGGTGTATAATTAGGTAACATTCATAGATAAACTGGACAAAATTTGGGAGTTAAAAGGTATAGGAGTTTGGGAGAACTTGAGCAACTACCAGTACAAAAATTTGGAGTCTTCATTCAGGTGACGGTTGTCTATAGAGAAGGTTTCCAGTCTAGTGTTTCCATTGAAAACATCCAGGAAATGCAACATATGGAATTGCTATCTCATTACCTTGAGATTTGTTGGAGCATAATACAGCACATCTTGCTGTATTGTCTGAGAATCTTGATTGAGAGGACTGGCACCAGTTCTATGAGAATCTAATTTGTATGGCATGGCACCTGTTTTTGATTGGCCATTGGTTTGGGTTTTTCTTTGATTAGCAGTTTCCAATCTTTTACTGCGGGCCAAAGTTAACAGGTGGCTGGTGGGTGAGTTGTTAAAAAGCAGGTGGTTTTTGTCAGTAAACTTACACATCTGGTGGGATGGAGGGTTAACCAGGGTGAATTTTGGGAGGAAACTGTCAAGGTGAAAAATTATCCATGAAAGAGAGGGAAACTAACCGAGGCAAGGTGCTAATCATCATCCTCACTGACTTCTTTCTACAGACTTCTTACCAAGTGACCCACAGGGCAAGTCCAAAATGTATTGCAGTCCTGCAATTAGTTTAGCACTTCCAAATGGTTATGTCAACAGGACTGACATAATTGAAAACGAGAGCTCAAGCCTGGGTTCACCTTCACATACTTGTCAATATGGCCCAAAAACATATGCAAACACTGTTCATTTGCCGTGGCAATCTGTCTCACATGCTTATCCCAGCTGGAGCACAAGTTGCCCATTCTGATTTCAGGAAAGGAGGATAGGCCAAAGCCATTGAGGGAGCTTCCTTTGTTGAGGGGGATAAATGTGTGCAAAGCAGGTTTCAGTTCCCTCCTGCTTTTCCTGGACGTACTTTAGAGGAATCTGGGAGCAAATCAGCACTTTCCTCTGGCACAGCCTCAGTCAGATCTGCAGGAGTATTTATGCAGACATTGATATGGAGTGGATGTTTAACTGGCCATTTTTATACTCAGCACTTTGTCAGTGGAATGGTCAGCCTTTAATTTTCCTACCAAAAAGGCAGGTAGACTAATTTAGCTCTTAAGACGAAAAGACTTTCTCTTTTGTATTCTGAGGTAGTTGTTGTAAATAGCCCTTGTTGGATGGTTGGGTTTGCTTCTCTCTAAGCTTTGTCTGGTATACTTCAGTTGGAAGCATTTTTTTTCATGCAGGACATTAAGGGGGAAAGTCACAGTGACACAATGCAGACTGTATTCATAACTAAATCTCCCATGTGACCATGAAGAATTATGTTAACCTATAGGCTACCTTTTCAACAGTAGGAAACAGCTTGATTAAATTCTGCCCTACATTCTACAATTAATTGGAAGGGTGGTGTGGCATAGACCCTATCCCAAATGGTACACTCTGTCCCTACAGTCCCCCTTCGATTCAATACCCTGGTGAAGTATTTCTGTATAGATTGTTGGGTACTACTCTGCTGTAAAGTCTGCAGGCTTTGCAAAAGGGAATGTGAAGGGTGCATTTCAGAAGCAAAGGGGCATTAGGGGGGCTTTCAAGAGCAGGGTTGGACAACCCTGCCCCTAGAACTGAGCTAGTAATCATAAGGTTGCAAGTTTGAGTCCCCAAAAGGGACAATCAAGAGGTATTACCATTATGTGCTTAAGCAAAGCATATCGTGAGACCTGCAGGAAGGAGCCTCTAGTTACTCATGTGGGATTGTCCTTGTAAAAAAGTCCTTGTACTGTAAGCCATTTTGGGTAAATGACTACTTGCAAAGATGAATAAACCCATGAAGTGGCCTTCATAGATGAATGTACATGCGTCGTGTGTCTGAAGTCAGATGCATCTATGTTTGTGATGGACATCTGAGACCTCTTTCTGCTTCTCCCTTGTCATGTCCTCTTTTCATTTTTGTCTTTCTCTGTCTGTTGACTTCTTCCACACTCCCTGCTACAGTGTTCCAGTCTTATCTTCCTTTCTTCCTCTCCAAACCTCCCAGGAAGTGCAGCCATTTTTTTAGGGTCGTAAACAGTCTATTTGTGGACAGGTAGCCAGGCTAGGAGATAAGTGCCCTCTGAAAGCTTTTGGCTGGGGCTCAGGAGTTCATGGCTGCTAAAAATCTGAAAATGAGCCAGAGCCTCTCTCTCTATCAGAGTCTCTCCTCTGTATGTCTGGAACAGAAGATGTTTGCCTTCTCTTTTACACGTGTTCTGTCTGTCACTGTCTGGATGTTTCTCTCTCATTAAGGCTGTCTGAATGACTAATCCTCTTTGACATTTGCATATGTTGTCATTTCATCAGTAATAGATAATTAAATTAAATTGGAGAGGCTCTAATCTGTTCTTGTTGGTGTGATAAATCATTGGACAACTATTGTATCATCTTGGTAGTAAGCACTCACAAACTCACAAATCTAAACTCTCAAACCGGGTTGGCGCCAAGGAGGGTTGCTCTTTTGTACTCTAGAGCAGGGGTTTTCAAGCTTTTAGGACATGCGCCCCCCCAAGTTTGTCTAATTTCACTCGCGCCCCCCCCCAACATCCTAATTGCATCTACTTCCGGAAGGCCAAATAAAGTGCTTTTGCCATCGCACTGAAACACACACCGTCTCCCTGACATGGCTAAATCATGGACTTAATTGTGATTCAAAAATCGTACTAAGGATATTGCATTTCGTAATGAATGTTGATAGGCTATATCGTGCAGCCCTAGACTGAACTGTGTGTGTGTGTGTCATTGAAACGCAAATTTAGCTGCAGCCAAGTGACTTTGTGCGACCCACTTTGTTCCACTCTGCGACCCACAGTTTGAAAACCCCTGCTCTAGATTTTTTCAAAAAAAAAATCTTTTGAAGATATTGCTGAACATTTATTTAACCATTGCACAAGTACATTTCTGACTGAAGTAAATTTGTCATCTCGGTTTTTAGTGTTTATTTAAAATGAGACACATCTGTTTATTATTTTTAACTTTTTCACAATTATTTTAATCTCAAAACTGTTTTAGATAGTTCTGCTTTGCTAAAAAAGTGTTGGGTTGTGCTCCGCTCTCCCCTACACACTGAAAGACCATGAATGCATTTTCTGCGCTGAACCCCGCGATGAGTTTAACAACACTTGCAGCGCAGATTACAGCTCACTGGAGTGAGCCTGCTTCACGTTTTTATGGACGTTTCATATTTTAACATCTGTAAACAAATAAATTAAAACTTAAATATTAGTAGTGAAATTTTACAGTTGTACTCTAAAATAAAATGGTTATTTTTCTTAAATACTTAATTTCTGTCATATTAAACTTTTAATTAAGATTAGGCTTAAAGTAATGTCAGTTGTTTTTTTTATCTCAAATATTTTGGTGGGTCGTGAAATAGATTATACTTGTCTAGGTGGGTCGTCGGTCGTGGAATGGAAAAGTTTGGGAACCCCAGCTCTAGAGTACAAAAGAGCAACTCTTTTCTTCTCATTAAGAGATAAAATTGTCTACCTGCCTTGTTGATGGAATGAGAGTTTAGATGTTGAAATATAAATGCCTAAAAGCATATTTATATTAGGTGAAATATAAATGCCCAAAGAACAACTGGACAACCTACAGTATATGGGTTTTATATATATATATATATATATATATAGCTGTCTATATGGTTGTCTGTACAACCTATATATTTGTTTTAGTAACCCGACTTGGCCGACCTAACACCATTGGCTCGGTCAAAAATTGGTCTATTAATCAACTAGCTAATATATCAGTCTATAACCACAAAGAATCTATCATGACAGGAAGTGGATCTTTTTCCTGAATTCTGTCATCTTCTGCACCATGTAGGAAACATGGTGCTTTATTTATATTTGGGTTGTCTTATCACAGATCTCTTCATTTGTTTGCACATTTACAATGTCCAAACATGTTGTTTGCTGGCAACAGGTTGTATATGAGTCCCTGGTGTTATATGGCTTGCGGTTAGGGAGCAGGGTTTCCTGTATTGGGTTCAGGTGGTCCGACTGTCAGTGAGTGGGATGCCAGTGGGAGGGTGGGGGTGTCAAGAAAGATTCACTGTTGAAACTTTGCACAGCTGTTCACAAGGTCAACACTTTATAAATGAAATCCTTTTTATCTCTTGACCTCAATTTATCTCCTCTCGTCTTCCTTGATTCCCGTCCCTTTTTCTAATATCATCATTCTAATGGCATTATACAAACCGATTTATTATTGTACTCATTTAATAAATTCCTCTTTGTATGAAAACATTTGTCCACTCAGAACAGCTTGATTGGTCAACGCCCTGACACATGGTGGCCCTATTTTATTCTTTTGCCAAGTCACCACCCGTATCGCCTTACTCTTCTGTCACAAGCCTTGTCTTTCAATGGTCTATTAATAAACTAATGGTCTCATAGGAGGCTTTACACCCTACTGTGATATTGCTGGTGGAGGCATTACAGCATTTAGTGTGCTTTTCTGTTTATATAAGTCTTTGTTCCCACCAGCTTTAATTAAAAGTGTTAAATTACATGTGAAGAGAAAAATATGAATATTTATTCCTTTGGGAGTCACTTTTGTCCATTAATGAAACATTGTAACAGTCCATTTTTTCCTTGGGAATCGAACCCATGACCTTGCGGCGTGATGCAGCGCTGTACAAGTTGAGCTACTGCTGCAGAAAAACAACTTAAACATGTTTTATATAATGAATTGAACTTTATTTTAAGATATGAAGTCCTAAGTGTTATAAATGCTAACCCAACTTTTATAATATGTCATATCTATTTTCAGTTTCAACATTATTATTATTATTACTGACACTCCGCTCAGTCCTTTATTAATCAGCTACATGTGTTTGTCAGCACTGCGTATTTTTGCATTTTTACTAATCTTGTGTTTCTTATTGATGCCTTTCCAGGTCGTAATGAGCTGATAGCAAGATACATAAAATTGCGGACTGGAAAAACCCGCACTCGAAAACAGGTAATGTGACAGTTTCTGTTAGCACTTGTTTGAATGGGTACAACAGAAGTCGTATCGAAGTCAAAGATTATCACTATATTCTGGTATAATTAGATTATGATGCTTGTAATTGATTCAGTCATTAATCTTTTTTTTGTTTGTTTGGCTTATTCATGTGTCAGTGTTTTTGTTTCACTTGTTGAAATAACACTGAACTTTATACTGACACCTATTGGTGTGGATGCTGCAATGCGCAAAAGCAAACATGTTCAGTTATTGATGCTATTATGAGATTATCCCATTCACAGGCGCATATCACACATTATTACGTATTATTATAAATGTAAACATATCTGGCAAAACACTGTTCAATTCTTTAGGTGTAAAACTGGAAACATAATGCACTTAATGCACCTTTAATATTACACTATAAATAGAAACGTATCATAACAAGTGTCAGATCTGTGTTACAGAGGTCTAATATATCTATTTTTTGCCAATTCTGAAGCAGTGCAAATGTGCAGTTTTTCTTGTGAACACTGAAACTGCAATGCTGTAATTAAAAAGTCAGTACTCTAAGGATTATTGGTCACTTGGTTATTTTGACAGATTTGTTGTTATGACATATATACATATGTGTTGGATGATATCAAATGTCTGTGACCCTGTTTTGCCTCAGGTGTCTAGTCACATACAGGTGTTAGCCAGGAAGAAACTGAGGGAATATCAAACTGGCATTAAGGTATGGCTGTGCTGCCACCTAGTGGCTTCTTTTCAATGTCTCTCTTCTCTTTTCTTGTCTTGTCTCCCTTCCTTCCTTTCTCCCTCCTCTGACGTCCTTCCTGCAGGTGTCTAGCCATCTGCAGGTTCTTGCGCGGAGAAAGTCTCGCGAGATTCAGTCTAAGCTGAAGGTATGCGGCTCACTGCAGTCTGCTCTGCTCTGACCTGAGCTGCAAACTGGGCTTTTCCTAAACTCACCAACCCTTCCTATCTGTGGCACACTCTAACTGTTATAATGACATGTGATGTTTAGCTTACATGTACCATAATGTGTGTAGTGTACAGGCATTCATTAAAACACATTGTGATGGAACTGAGCAGCATGCTTGTAAAGTAATGGGGCCCTCTTGTGATTGACCTAATATTGCATTGCTTTCTGTTGTGTCGCTACACATAAGCTATTGTGTGTATCTGACTGAACTATTTATTTGTTTGTTTATTTCTCCCATTCTAACTTATCTTGACCTCCATAACTCATCTTTAACATCTTTCTGTGATTTATATGTTCACTCTAGTAGTAGTACACTGTATTGTTTTGATTAATCACTTCTGCTTCTGCATAATTCTAATTTGTAAGTCATTTTCCACCTAAAAACAAACAAACAAACAAAAAAAAAACTACCTGGTTGTTGTCTTGTTTTTCGTTAATTATTTTCCCCTCACTATTTATTTATTTATTTATTGTTTGTTAGTTTATTCATTCATTGATTTAAGATGATACCTGTATCATTCAAATTTGTGTTCAGATTCAAATTTTAACCACCTTATAATGTAAAAAAAATTAATAATGCACTTGTATCCTACCAACATCCTTATCTGAAATTAACAAAGCAGAATCATCAGCATATAAAAACAAATTACAATCACAAACTACTTGCGTGTCATTAATATATAAAAGAAACAAAAGAGGGCCTAAAACACTTCCCTGAGGGACTCCATTTTTAACAAAAGTTTCCTCAGAAAGAACCCCATCAATTTCTACTCTCTAAACTTTCCCAGTTAAATAGGAATTCAACCAGGCTATCACTTTACTTGAAAAAACCATGACACTTAACTTATTGAATGATTATTGAATGAAGTATTGAATGATTTACAGTGTCAAACACTTTCTAAAAGTACCATACCACACATTTATCTTCATCAATCTGCCTCCTTATAAAATCTGTTAAATAAAGTAAAGAAGTATCAGTCGAATAAGATTTCCTAAAACCTGACTGAAAATCATAAATTAAACTACTCTTACTTAAATACTCATACATCTGTTTATACACAATTCTTTCAAACATTTTTGAGGCCACATTAAGGATGGAGATTGGACGATGGTTTCCAGGACCATTTAACAGCTTCCAATAGAATGTCCAATTATTTCCCCCCCACTAACCATTTATTTATTTGTTTGTTTATTTATTTATTTACTCTGCAAAAAAAAAAAATTAAGGATCCTTAAATTTTTGGATGGTAGTGTATATATCTTTGAAGTCTGCTTTTCATAAAGATTGCATATTATTTGTTATTATTGTAAATAAAACTTTTATTTGGAACCATAACTAATATTATTTAAACTAATTATTATTTTAAAAATTCCAATAGAGAAATTCATCTGAGATATTAGGAAAGTTCTGAAGTTTCTTTCAATCCAGGTTTTGTTCCAAATAGTTAATTTCCCCGCCAGTGAAACTGTGCTTCTGATGAGCTTTTCTTGTGTCTTTCTCAGGATCAGGCTTCCAAAGACAAAGCCCTGCAGAACATGGCCGCTCTTTCCTCCGCTCAGATCGTTTCTGCAAGTGTGATGAAGAGTCATCTGCCTCCTCTTCCTCAGCACCCCTACCCCCCTCCAGCCCGGGTAAGTTCAGAGTTTAAGTCACCCTCTTTTGACCAGTTCTCTACCATCACCTTCAAACTTATATTGTCCTCTGTTTTGTTGTCTAGTTTTGGCCAGGCCCCATCCCAGGACAGCCTGGACCTTCTCAGGAGTGAGTATTTCTGACATCTGATCTAATCTCAGTGTTATTGTGAGATCCTGCTGATCTGTCCCTGTGTTTTTCTAGCATCAAACCCTTTGCACCGAGTCCGTACTCCACCCTTCAGCCTCCACTGCCTATACCCATATCAAGTAAGAGCAGTGCTGGGATGATTTCAACCCTAGTAAACTTAGACTGACCACCCGGCCTAAACCAGCATGTTTTCTCGACAGGTTATGAGCAGTTACCCACCCTGCAACCTCCGAGCGCCACTGCCATGCCTGTGTGGCAGGACCGGACCATTGCCTCCTCTAAACTCCGCATGCTGGAGTACTCGGCCTTCATGGAGCTCCAGAGAGACCCTGACACAGTGAGTCACACTTCTGCTGAGAAAATTATATTAGCATTTTGCTAATGCTAAGGTCTTAGGGTGCAATGTGGTTTCTGCGTTGTTTATGTTTATTTGACAAAAAAGTAGTGAATACACTCTGTTCATCAAGGATAACACAATAAAGTTTAATATCCCATCAATTTCTTTCCCAGTTAAATAGGAATTCAACCAGGCTATCACTTTACTTGAAAGACCCATGACACTTAACTTATTGAATGATTATTGAATGAAGCATTGAATGATTTGCAGTGTCAAACACTTTCTAAAAGTACCATACCACACATTTTACCTTCATCAATCTGCCTCCTTATAAAATCTGTTAAATAAAGTAAAGAAGTATCAGTCGAATAAGATTTCCTAAAACCTGACTGATCATAAATTAAACTACTCTTATTTAAATACTCAACTGTATTGTTTATACACAATTCTTTCTAAAGTTTTTGAGGCCATATTAAGAATGGAGATTGGACGATAGTTTCCAGGATCATATCTGTTACCTTTTTTAAATAATGGAATCATTTTAGCTAACTTCATATCAGATGGATCATGGAAATATACAATTTTCCAAGGAGAGATTAACAATAAATGTAATAGTTGGAGCTATAATATCTGCAGCATCTCTTAAGAATCTAGCGGGAATATCGTCCAGCCCAGTTGCCTTAGACACTTGAAGTTCATCTTGCATTTTAGTAATTTGATTTACACTAACTTTAGCAAAAGAAAAACTATTTGGCAACACCCCTTGTTTTAAATAAAATCGCTTAACAAAATCAATCCCATAATTTAGTTTGGACAGAGGAATCTTATCAACTAGACTATTAGCAATTAATGAAAAGAATGAAATAAATTTATTAGCAACTTTATTTTTATCAAATTCTATCTTGCCATCAATATCTAGACCTACTTTTGATACAGTAAATTTCGATTTACCAATTGAATCGAACCTATTTAACACCTTCCACAGAGATTTAGGATCTTCTTTGTTTTCTTGAATTTGTTTCTTAATAAAATTACGTTTTGCCTCCTTCGCAATTTTGTCCACTACTTTAAGAAATAAAACTTTACATTTTTTCCAAACATCATCAACTATTGAGATATTTTGAATATCATTCCAATTAACTATTTTAAGAGAGTCTTTAAAAACTTCAATATTATATTTTTTTAACGATCTAATTTGTGAGTAGGTTTTTGGCATGTTAGTGTAGTTAAGGTGTTTTGGCGGTTTCTAGAGCGTTGCAAAGTGTTTGCCAGGATGGTTTCTTTAAAGCATAATAGCAGCATGCTAACAACATGCTAATATATGTGTAACCCCAGTAACGATACCCGCTATGTTAAAGCTGGGGCCTGGGTAAGTATTTGTTTCACGGTTATGATTAACTTTAACAGTTAACTATAATATTTCTCTTCCTTCCAGCAGCAATAAAGACGATAGAATCCAATACTGGTCATATGAGGTTTGGTTTATATATTTAAATAACCCAATGAAGTTAGTAAAGCAACGTGAAAGGATAATAAAACTGTGTAAACAACTTCTTCAATGTCAAATCAAATCCTTTAAAAGAAGGGACAATATGAAATAAACCAAACTTCTGTTTTCACAAGTGTTAAACACACGTTAGGGGATTAACTTGGAAAATGTACAAATGTACAACTCAATAACAAAATCTTACACTTTTGGATTTAACCCAATGAAATACTCTCTATATTCAGTAACAAAACAGTGGGCCCACTTTCCCGCTATCACTCACACACCCACCCTACGTTGCAGGCCTGAGAGGTTTTCCCAGAACGCGACGGGTCCCGCGGTATGATGAAACGTTGTTGCTTTGGCTCGCGCGAGCGGCTAGCGGCTCTCCCACGCGGCAACAGAGGAACTCCGGGCTTTTCCAGTCACCCGGAGCGCTATCTGTTTCTCCTTCTCTGCATTGAATGTCGATCCGGTTCGTGCTAGTCACCACACAAGCACATGTAATGAACGTGCAAAGTGTAATCAGTGCTAAATATAACCAATACTTGCTAAATAAAGTTCTTATTAGCAAAATACAAATCACTGATGACGGATTCACTCTCCTCCTGTGCCTGATAAGCCAGGGTGATGGCATCCACAATCCAGTGGGCCATACTCTGCTTAGAGACGGCCTTCCCCTTCTCCCGGTCTCCGTAACAGACAAAGCGCTGGTCTGAGGTCCTAAAGCTTGTCTCGATGTGATTCGGAGTGACCGACTGAAAGGGAACCATGGTTTATTTTCATAAGGGAGCAGTGTGCAAAAAACATGCTAGCAGCATAAAACATACTATAAACATCTTAGCAGCAACCTATATCATGTAGCAACATGGTGAAATATGCTAGAAACATCCTGTATCTTTCAGACAAGGCTTTGTCAAGCCAACATCAAAGTTTATCTTCAAACTTTATCTGTCTAGTTTATATACTATTATAGTATTTATTAATATTTTAGCTTTTATTTTTATATTTTCATGTTTTTATTTTGATGTAGTGTATTTTATGTGGTGATTTTCATGAGGTTTTGCTTTTTATATTATATTTAGCTTTTTTTTCAGTTTCAGTAGATTTAGTACTTCAGCTTCAACTTATTTATTTATTTTTTATCTGCCAGAGCAACATTTCTAATTTGCATTTAAGTTTCACTTTACGTTTTTAATCTAGTTTTTATATTTCATTTTTTATTTCTGCTTTTGGTTACTGAAAATGATTTTCAATAGTTTTAGCTAACAATAACAATACTGTCACAGATGAAAACAAACATAATATGTTTCAGGAATGACAAGATTTCATGCAGTGCAATAAAGGTCACCTCTTCACCTGTTAATCCACAGTACAGCAAGCACCTGTTTGTCCACATCGCCCAGACAAACCCCTCATACACAGATCCTCTCCTGGAGGCCGTGGACATCCGTCAGATCTACGACAAGTTTCCAGAGAGGAAGGGAGGGCTGAAGGAGCTGTATGAGAAAGGCCCACAGAACGCCTTCTTTCTGGTCAAATTCTGGGTGGGTTTTAACAAATGCATGTTGAGCTGTACTGTCATAATTGATACTGTTGTGCCTTGAAAGCCCAGTAAATGTTATGTGTTTGAAAATTACCATCAATTCACAAAGGCCCATAAAAATGAAAGTTTGCTTAGTCAAGGTCTTCAGGATAACTGTGTTGGTCTATGTGAGGCATTTTCAAACAGATTCTCTTCTGTAATGTGTTTCAGGCTGATCTGAACAGCAGTAATGTTCAGGATGGTGCAGGCTCATTCTATGGGGTCAGCAGTCAGTACAGCAGCGCTGAAAACATGACCATCACTGTCTCCACTAAAGTCTGTTCTTTTGGGAAGCAGGTGGTAGAGAAAGTCGAGGTGAGGTCACCATATATTCATAGCTATTCATAGCCGTGTTGGTCTGTACTGACAAAAGTGGTTTCAAAACATCATCTATACTTTGACTTTTTGACCCCTAGACAGAGTATGCGCGTGTGGAGGGCGGGAGGTACGTTTACCGGATCCATCGCTCACCCATGTGTGAATACATGATCAACTTCATCCATAAACTCAAGCACCTGCCAGAGAAATACATGATGAACAGCGTCCTGGAGAACTTCACTATACTGCAGGTAAGAGAATGAGAAAACAGGGCAAAGTAGGGATTTAAGATTGGACCTCTTTCAATTCGTAAGTGTGAACTGGCCAAACACCCCAAAGAATGTTGAATCAGAATGATGGGGAAAACTAATTGCTGTTTAAAGAATTTCAACAGAGGAATTTCATTATTGACTAATGCCTATTTATTTATTTTTTGACACACTATCAAAAGTTTGGGATCAGTAAGATTTTTTAACCCTCTTAATGCATTCAAAACCTGAATTCAATTTTCACATTCACAGACCTGAAGAATCATTGTTTTATAAAATAGTCATAACTTAATATGTTTCAACTAAAAGCATACTATATCTGATCAGCAACTTCTGATTAATGAATAAATGTAAAAAAAAAAGAAAGAAAGTTTTGAATGTTACTGCATTAACTTGAGAAAAATTGAGAAATTCTTTTGAAACTTAAAATTACACTGAACCACACCAAAAAAACAAACTGGGATGAGATATATTTCAATAATGATGAGAAATATTCAATATATAATTTAATTTAAATAGAAATGTAAATATATAATTGAATGAAATTTATAAGAACATATAATCTGAGAATTAACAGTATTAAGCCTTTTGGAATTAATAGAATTTAATTAAATTCATTTGCATTTATAACTCATGATTACAAAAAAAAAAAAAATTATGAAACCTACATATTTATTTCTACAAAACAACATAAATATTAGTAAATATAAATATAAGTAAATTATTTTTGCTTGCTAAATCAGTTGCAAAAGAGTTAAAGATATAGGGATTTTTTTTTTTTTTTTGCAATAATATAGCAAAAAGTTTTTGGACGCTAATATAACTTCAAAAAGTATTTTTTGGCAGCTAATGGTACTCCATACATACCCGGGTCCCATTTAGTTTTATCATTACTATTTTTTTAAATGGCTATATCTCTTAAAAATAACTGTAAAAAATCTGAGAAAAAAATATATATATTTTGAGGGTCTTAAAGCACTTGCAAAGTTTCATTCCCTCATTAAATTATGTGGGTTTTTTAGTCATTTTTATGTCATCTGGGTCAAAACGGACCTGAATGCATTATGAGGGTTAAGAAATTAATACTTTTATTCAACAAGGGTGAATTAAATTGATAAAAAAGTGACAGTAAAGACATGAAATCTATTTATATATTGATGTTTGTCCCATTTTAAAGACTATAGGATAAATTAAAGCATTTTTGGAAATGACGTGATTTTAAACACATTTTAAATAGTTTACAATGTCAAAGTTGACTAAAAATCTGTAAAGATTTCACAGCAAAAATACAATGGGGGATATTTTTACAATTATACTGTATTTCCAAGCTTATGTCATTATGCTCATCCAACATAAATGTTTACTGTACTATGCCAAGCTTTCTTTGAAGTTAGCATGATTCTACTATTCTACTGTTCTATTACACTTTTCCCTGATGTGTTTTTCTCTTCCTCAGGTTGTCACAAACAGAGACACACAAGAGACTTTGCTTTGCATTGCGTTCGTGTTTGAGGTGTCTACAAGCGACCACGGAGCACAGTATCACGTTTACAGACTCGTCAAGGACTGAATGACTGCTTTGCCGAAAACACCTCCAGACGCTGTTCCTCGAATGCGTACGAACAAAGTGAGGAGAAGAAAATTAGACAAACCTGAAGCTCATGAACACAATCACGGACAAACCGGGATCCTCTGCGCTAGGTTGTGTTGTATATTTAGTCGTGTTCCTTAAAAGCAAAGGAAATGTACTTTCAGGGATAATTCTGTTTCTTACTGTTTTGTGGGGGAGAGGTCTTGAATGTCTGTGGTGGGTGAACTCTGATTCTGACGCTTGTCATGTTTGTGGTACTAGACTCTGAAGGCACAAAGGTCTTTTTAAAGGCAATTGTAAGCGAATAGGAAAGGAATTCTGGTCGATACGAGTCTTTCTCTAATCAGGAATGTTGTGATAGTGTATGTTTGTCTTTCAATCAGACACAGCAGCTTGCTACCTCTGACCTTTGACAGATCGCGGGCTCAGATTGTGCTCAGAACAATGCGTCTTGAAAATAAAAACGGTTTTGTGTAGGAAAGAGACACCGAATGTTTGGGATGGTAAGAGCAAGTTGCAAAAAGTTCAGGGTTCGTGTTCCACGAATGTCGCACACTTTTGCAAGTTTTACTCTCGATTTGACTTGATTTTCTGTTTTGGGAAATGCAAATGTGTGAGCTATTTCTACCTCCTGGGGTTACATGGATATGTATGGAAGCTTGTTTCCGCCACAGAATAAAAAAAAAAAAGGTGAATGCGAGTATTTATCTCAAGGTTTCTCGCAATTCAACTAGATATAAACTCGCAATTCTGAGAAGATAAATCAGAATTGTGAGATATAAATTTGCTATTGCAAGAAAAACAGTCAGAATTGTGAGATAAAAAGTCACAATTACATTTTTTATTTTTTTTATTCGGTAGCGTAAGCAAAAAACAGAATTGCGAGATGTAAACTCAGAATTCTGAGGAAAAAAGGTCAGAGTTGCAAGATATAAAGTCAGAACTGAGAGAAGTAAACTTGAAATAAAAAAAAAAGTCAGAAAGTTTATAAAGTCACAATTACATTTTTTTATTTTTTTTATTCGGTAGCGGAAGCAGAAAACAGAATTGCGAGATGTAAACTCAGAATTCTGAGGAAAAAAGGTCAGAGTTGCAAGATATAAAGTCAGAACTGAGAGAAGTAAACTTGAAATTGAAAAAAAAAGTCAGAAAGTTTATATTTCGCAATTCTGTCTATTTCTTGTAATTCTTGTAAATTACGTAAATCTTAAATTTCTCGTAAATATTTTTTTCTCAGAATTTCTAAAAACAAAGTCCAAATTGTGAGATTTAAACTCAGAATTACAAGAAAAAAAGTCAGAATTGTGAGATAAAAAGTCGCAAATACCATTTTTAATTTTTTTATTCGGTAGCGGAAGCAGAAAACAGAATTGCGAGATGTAAACTCAGAATTCTGAGGGAAAAAGGTCAGAATTGCAAGATATAAAGTCAGAACTGAGAGAAGTAAACTTGAAATTGAAAAAAAAAAGTCAGAAAGTTTATATTTCACAATTCTGTTTATTTCTCGTAATTCTTGTAAATTACGTACATTTCTCGTAAATATTTTTTTCTCAGAATTTCTAAAAGCAAAGTCCAAATTGTGAGATTTAAACTCAGAATTACAAGAAAAAAAGTCAGAATTGTGAGATAAAAAGTCGCAAATACCATTTTTAATTTTTTTATTCGGTAGCGGAAGCAAAAAACAGAATTGCGAGATGTAAACTCAGAATTCTGAGGAAAAAAGGTCAGAATTGCAAGATATAAAGTCAGAACTGAGAGAAGTAAACTTGAAATTGAAAAAAAAAGTCAGAAAGTTTATATTTCGCAATTCTGTCTATTTCTTGTAATTCTTGTAAATTACGTAAATCTTAAATTTCTCGTAAAAAAAAATTTTCTCAGAATTTCTAAAAACAAAGCCCAAATTGTGAGATTTAAACTCAGAATTACAAGAAAAAAAGTCAGAATTGTGAGATAAAAAGTCGCAATTACCTTTTTATTTTTTATTCCATAGCGGGGGCGGGGGGGAGGGAAAGAATTGCGAGATGTGAACTCAGAATTCTGAGGGAAAAAGGTCAGAGTTGCAAGATATAAAGTCAGAACTGAGAGAAGTAAACTTGAAATTGAAAAAAAAAAGTCAGAAAGTTTTTTCACAATTCTGTTTATTTCTCGTAATTCTTGTAAATTACGTACATTTCTCGTAAAAAGGCTGAATTTCCTTTTTTTTTTTTTGTCGAGAGGGGGGGGGGGGGAAGAATTGCGAGATGTGAACTCAGAATTCTGAGATGTTAATTTGTAATTGTAAGAAATTAGTCTAGGAGTCTATTTTAACTATGAGATAAAATGTCAACATTTGCTTTTATTTATTTAGTTGTTGTTTTTTTATTCTGTGGTGGAAACGGGCTTCCGTGGATATGTAAAGTGTGTTTTTAAAGCAGAATTTTTGTTTAAAACCATTTTGCCATAAAGATTATTGTGATTATGCATGCTTTTACTCGATTGCCCTCATTTTGAGTGCCTTATCACTTCTGTGTCTACCTTCGCCATACTAGCGAGAGAGCAGGAAAATGCAGTAGATCACCTAACACTGTTTAAAACAAAGAGGGCAAATCTGCTGTTGCATAAAGGGGTTACAGCGGGACAAAACCAATCTCAGCATGTAACACTTGGTTTTGATTTCTCAGTGTTTTTAATCAATGAACTAAGTGCTAATTACATCATCACCAAAGCAATTACACCTAACTGGGTGCTTAAGTATTTTCCTAATAAAAAAGACTGTATTTTAAAACAAAGATAGAAAAAAACATTGTATTTTAATGTACAATTTCAATATTTCAGTTGTTCTCTCAATTTTTGTAAGGCGTGCCATTGGTCAACAGAAGGTTTTGAACAGCACCAAGTGAAATTAACCGTTAATTCCATATCAAAATGTGCAATAAGATCTGGGCTATTCCGATCCACGTTTTCTCAGGTTCTTTCAGTAATGTAGAAACACTCTAGGTTTTTAATGTCAGTATATACAGTATGTGGAGTCATGGATTCAGTACACTTTTTTTTACATTTATGCTTCCACACATCGCATCCATCTTGGTGTTAATTTTTTTTTTAACCCACAGTCACCTGCAGTGGTTACATATGATTTTTAATGTCAGACATAATCATTGACAATTAATTGGAGTCATCTGATTATTTATGGCATCATATATTGGTACATTATGGAAAGCACATGTTGATGTTGCATAAATAACTGAGGACTGTTTATTTCGTTGTGCATTCTCCTTTTGGAGCTTTGTGTGTGTGTGTGTGTGTGTGTGTGTGTGTGTGTGTGTATGTGTGTGTGTGTTTGTGTGAAAGTTTCTAAACTAATCTGTAATATCTTAACCAAAGAATCGAATGTGAACACCATCCCAGTCTTGCCTTATTGTGTGCTTCAGGTCTTCTGTGACATTTTAAAAGAACAACCATGATTCTGTGTGTGCGTGTATGTGAGTGTGTGTGTGTGTGTGAGTGTGTGTGTGAGTGTGTGTGTGTGTGTGTGTGAGTGTGTGTGTGAGTGTGTGTGTGTGTGTGTGTGAGTGTGTGTGTGAGTGTGTGTGTGTGTGTGTGTGAGTGTGTGTGTGAGTGTGTGTGTGTGTGTGTGTGAGTGTGTGTGTGAGTGTGTGTGTGTGTGTGTGTGAGTGTGTGTGTGAGTGTGTGTGTGTGTGTGTGTGAGTGTGTGTGTGAGTGTGTGTGTGTGTGTGTGTGAGTGTGTGTGTGAGTGTGTGTGTGTGTGTGTGTGAGTGTGTGTGTGAGTGTGTGTGTGTGTGTGTGTGAGTGTGTGTGTGAGTGTGTGTGTGTGTGTGTGTGAGTGTGTGTGTGAGTGTGTGTGTGTGTGTGTGTGAGTGTGTGTGTGAGTGTGTGTGTGTGTGTGTGTGAGTGTGTGTGTGAGTGTGTGTGTGTGTGTGTGTGAGTGTGTGTGTGAGTGTGTGTGTGTGTGTGTGTGAGTGTGTGTGTGAGTGTGTGTGTGTGTGTGTGTGAGTGTGTGTGTGAGTGTGTGTGTGTGTGTGTGTGAGTGTGTGTGTGAGTGTGTGTGTGTGTGTGTGTGAGTGTGTGTGTGAGTGTGTGTGTGTGTGTGTGTGAGTGTGTGTGTGAGTGTGTGTGTGTGTGTGTGTGAGTGTGTGTGTGAGTGTGTGTGTGTGTGTGTGTGAGTGTGTGTGTGAGTGTGTGTGTGTGTGTGTGTGAGTGTGTGTGTGAGTGTGTGTGTGTGTGTGTGTGAGTGTGTGTGTGAGTGTGTGTGTGTGTGTGTGTGAGTGTGTGTGTGAGTGTGTGTGTGTGTGTGTGTGAGTGTGTGTGTGAGTGTGTGTGTGTGTGTGTGTGAGTGTGTGTGTGAGTGTGTGTGTGTGTGTGTGTGAGTGTGTGTGTGAGTGTGTGTGTGTGTGTGTGTGTGTGTGTATGTGAGTGTGTGTGTGTGTGTGTGTGTGTGTGAGAGAGAGAAAAATAGAAATTAATTTTGAAATTCTACAAATTGCTTTGTGTATATTTTAAGAATGTTACAGGAAAAATGTTTTTATGTCTATTCTTTTTTTCATCTTTTTTTTGTTTTTGTTTTGTTTGTTCCAGTATCATATTGTTCTGGTTAATATGAAATAAGGGTTGTAACATCTTCAGTTTCATGTATTTGCTCATTAAAGTGACTTCCGTGCCCTGGAAGCTATAACATCCAAATTGCTTTTGTTGTTGTTATACAGTATATATATATATATATAAAACATTAGAATGTAATAATATCATTAGGATAATTAATACTAGGCAACAGCTGTGACTGTATAGGGTCACATTTAACTGCATTTATTAATGTAAAGTACAATGAAAAAATTGGTATAACTTATATAAATTAAGTTTTTTTTTTTTTCAAATAAAATAAAATATTAATTAGCATCACTAAATCAACCCAAATACGTTCATTTATACCAACGCAATTGTTTTTATGGGTTAAATCAGGTAAAATTGCTCCGTAAGGTAACAATTGCAGGTTTCCACTTTTTA